GGGAAAAATGGTCACTTTCTCCGTTTCTCGCCGAAATCGAACTTTTCTGAAAAATCCGAAGAAATCCAAAGTTGTACGTTCCAATTACAACGTCGTCCAAAGGCCTTTTTGTGATTTTCCGAATTTTCTGACGCTCGGTTTGGTCTCTACTCAATATTCCAATTATATATTCATAACGTAACTCGAGCGTTTCTCAAACTAACGGGTGGCTTTTGGGGAAATTCGCCTATACGACCCGTGACTGATACTAAATTGAGTCACGTATAATTTATTCAGACCGTAATGACTTCGGTTGTCATTTAAATCGCGAGGATCGATCACTAGGTCCGATGAGTACGATCGTTCGGAATAAGTTCGGGATCGTTCGTCAATTCATTTCGTGGTCCGGCGAATCACCCGCGATCCACTACTATGACAGTGGCGAACTGACCCTTAGTTATCCTTGGATCGGCCTACTATGGCTCAAAATGTCACCTCGGCGATTTTATGGTCGAAAGTCAATTCACAATCGAATTCTTACTTTGTCGCACGAATTTTAAGTCCCCAGTTAGCCTTTCCCTAATAGTTAGTATCCCAGGAATGATCAGTTCCGGGTGAAAACTAGTTACAAGTACATTAATAAAATAATTCATTTCATAAATCCCAAATGAGCGAAATTTCGGAATGTCACAGCACTCGCAGTGTGCGTTGGGTCTAGTTATCTCTACGAGAGTGGTTTAGAATTAAGACTTTGAGAGTTTGGTCTTATGTTTATGAATGTACAAGTTTAGGTCATTGAATCCAATTTAAAGTGATAATTTATCTTTAAGTTTTTGTTTCTGCTGTTTCACTTTATTGATCTTAAATTGACGTGGCTTAGCGACTGCTTGGGAACTTCTTTGGCCAATACTTTGGAAAAATCGCAAATGATAACCTTAATATTATCACGTATTTTGTCAACACCTGAATTTTTGTTGACAATTCAAGCATCTGTCCCTGTGAAAGTACAAAAACAGAGAATAGAAAAAACAACAAAAAAGAGCGAAGAAGAATAGATAAATAAATATATAATAAACTAATTAGAAAAACAATGGCTGTTTAAAAGGGGGCCAACTCACATAGCTCCCAGAAGGAAAAAAAAATTTGTTTTAAGGCCATCAAAGCGTATCAAGCCCGTCGTTGGCTCCAGCCCATTTTATCCACCAATTATTAGGCCGTAGAAGCTGTAGCCCCTCTAACCCCGAACACCACCCTGCATGCAGCCACGACCCATTCCCTGCTGAAGACCCGCTTGAAATCTTTGGAATCCTGTCATTTCCGACGCCATTCTTCTTTGTACGCCCATCAACCGGAAATCACATTGGGTTAAATTTTCCAATACGAGGCAATTCAAATAGAAATCTCAAATCGAAATACCTATGGAAAATTAAAAATGTTTCTTCGGGTTGAAATTACGAGAAATAAATATGAATTTTTCCTTTCACAAATAACATTAAATAATGTTGCTTCGAGCGAGAACAGACCGCCAACAGTAAGCTCACCCAATTTACAAAAGCGAATTTCAAGCCACGAATACCACATATGAGCAATCCAGAGACGAAAATGCCTTCCCTAACAGTAATAGGGAAATGAACACATATAAGCAACAACGATAAGAGACGAATGAATCGAGATCAAATCGGCTTCAAGAATGATACTCAACAAGCTAAATCTCAACACAAACTAAATAGCATGGGAATGGTTAAGCATGACATTAGAAGGCACGGCAACGCGGTCGTCTCATCTAATCGTGTATCAATAAAAACAATCCAGTTCCTAGAATGACTAGGAATACTACCTCAAATCGGCCTCCACGCCGAGGACATCCAGGAGGGATAGACAAATGTTTGTCACACAGTAGACATAATTTTGAATTTTAAAAAGTTGAGTAAATTTATCATAATGAATATAATTTGAAATTATTTGCGTTTTAAAAAAAATAATTTGTGAGTCGTTGGATGAATCTTCCTTTTTTTTGTTCTCGTCATTTTCTCTTCAAGCTCCTCGCCGCTGCCCATCTTCACGCTCCGGCCTATCGTCTCGGGCGACAACGACTCTCGATTTGGCCTCGGATTCCGTCGCCGCTGGTTGATGAGGCGGCGCCGGTCCGGCAGGAGTGGCCACCGGTCATTCGGATGAAGCTCTTGTGAACACCAGCCCACATCCCCCTCCCCCTTTGCGCGCAGCTTATGTTACAGAATTTTGGAAGAAGGAAAGCTACACAGTATGCAAAGAACTACGTTGTTCTTATTGCATTTTTTCTCTTAAAAAAACTTTACATCAGATGCTCTTCTTAAAGAGCTGACACACGACAGTTAACAGCATAAAAAAAAAGTACTCCACTAACCCCTAAAAAACAGCAACGTGCAGAAATCACCTATTGACTTGGTAAAACACAAAGCCATGTTCTACACCACTACAAAACAGACTCCTAATAACTAGGACGCTAAACAATTGACAATTAAATAATCCACGTGACTCAACATGCCCTCCCTTAAACTGAAAGTTTGCTAACATTCAGTTTAATACAACTTCTGGACACCAAGCAGGTTTCTCGGCTTTTTGAAATGCAGCCAACTTGAGGGACTTGGTAAAGATATCAGCAACTTGATCCTCACTTCTGCAATAGATGAGATCAATAACTCCTTCCTTCGTCAGATCCCTCAAGAAATGAAACTTGACATCTATGTGCTTGCTTCTTCCATGTAAAACAGGATTTTTGGAGAGCTTTATTGCTGAACTATTGTCACAATAAATCACAGTAGGTCCTTGGCTCTCAACATGAAGTTCTTCGAGAATTTTCTTCAACCAAATAGCTTGACAAGCGCATGAAGTTGCTGCAACAAATTCAGCTTCAGTGGTTGATAAAGTGACAATCGGCTGCTTCTTTGATGACCATGAAATAGCTCCCGAACCCATCATAAATACATATCCGGAAGTGCTTCTTCTATCATCTTGATCTCCGGCATAATCACTATCAGTGAAGCCCATCAAGTTTGAGCTTTCTCCCTTCTTGTAGAGCAATCCAAAGTCAGCCGTACCTTGCAAGTATCGAAAAATTCTCTTGGCAGCAAAGAGATGCATCTCAGTAGGATTCTCCATGTACCTACTTATGAGACTCACAGAATACACTATATCTGGCCTAGTTGAAGTTAAATACATCAAGCTTCCCACAATTTGCTTGTACATGGTGCTATCAACTCTCTTTCCTTCAGGATCTTTCAGTAACTTCAAACCCACCTCTGTTGGTGTGCTAGAAGAATTGCAATTCTTCAATTGGAACCTCTCTAAAATGTCTTGCACATATTTTCTTTGGGAAATGAAGACTCCACCAGCAAATTGAACAACTTCTATCCCAAGGAAATAGTGCATCTTTCCAAGATCAGACATATCGAATTCAAGCATCATAGACTGCTTAAATTTTTCAAGCATAGCACTATCATTTCCAGTATAAATCAAATCATCAACATACAGGCAAACAATAAGCATCTTCCCTCCTTCTCCAGTTTTCACAAAAAGCGTATGCTCATATGGACATTTTCGGAGACCTTCCTTCAGAAAATAGGCCTCTATACGACTATACCAAGCTGTTGGAGCTTGTTTTAGTCCGTATAACGCCTTGTTTAGTTTGTACACCTTGTGCTCACTACCAAACTTTATATAACCAGGAGGAGGTTGATCAATAAATACCTGTTCTTCCAAGTTGCCATGTAAAAATGCCGACTTCACGTCCAACTGGAAGATAGGCCATGAATTTTGTGCCGCAAGTGCAATCACCACTCTGATTGTGTCATGTCGGGCAACTGGAGCAAAAACTTCTCTATAGTCAATGCCGAACTCTTGCTTGTAGCCTTTTGCGACTAAGCGGGCTTTGTACTTATCGACTTCACCGTTCTCCTTTAACTTCGTCTTGTACACCCATTTCACTCCAATGGTCTTTTGCCCTTTTGGAAGCTCTATCAACTCCCAAGTATTATTTCTTTCAATGGCTGCAATTTCTGCATCCGTCGCCTTCTGCCATTTTAGTTCTTTAACAGCATCTTCGAAAGCTACTGGATCGCAATCTGAAAATAAGGCAAAATGAGTAAAAGGGTCTTCAGTTTGATCGATCCCAGTTACCTCATAATCAGTCATCCATGCGGGCCTTCTTCTAACTCGTCGAGGTTGCTATTCATCTCCTGTTTCAGAGGCTGAAATACATTCATTGATTGCTGGTTGTTGCTCATTTTCTACAGGTTCTGCATTCTCCAAAGGCCGCTGCAATTTTTCTCCATTCTCTCCATCAAAATCAGCTTGTATTTGCTGTTCAACTTTGTTTTCGTTCCATAACCAGAACCTCTCTTCATCAAAAATTACATCACGACTGATGATAATTTTCTTGGTGATAGGATTATACAATTTGTATGCTTTTGAATGTTCACTAACACCAAGAAAAATGCATTTTTCACCTTTGTCATCAAGCTTGATCCTCTTCTGATCTGGTACGTGGGCAAACGCTATACAACCGAAAATTCTGAAATGCTCGACACATGGTCTGTGCCCATTCCAAGCTTCTTCAGGCGTCATATTTTGAACAGCTAGTGTGGGGCTCCTGTTCAATACATGAATGCTCCAATTGACAGCTTCAGGCCAAAAACTTCTTGGAACACTGCTTCTTGCCAAAATGGTTCGTACCATGTTTACGATGGTGCGATTCTTCCTCTCTGCAACGCCATTTTGCTGTGGCGTATAAGCTGTCGTAAGCTGTTTTCGAATTCCATGAGTCTCACAAAAATTTATGAATTCTTGCGAGTTATATTCTCCACCACGATCGCTGCGAAGAGTCTTTATAAGCATGCCTGCTTCTTTTTCGACCAGTACTTTGAAGTTCTTGAAAGCTAGAAAAGCTTCAGACTTCTCCTGCAGAAAATAGACCCAAGTTTTCCGACTATAATCATCAATGAACGTTATAAAGTAACGTTTACCGCCATTTGATGTCGATTTGGCCTCGGATTCCGTCGCCGCTGGTTGATGAGGCGGCACCGGTCCGGCAGGAGTGGCCACCGGTCATTCGGTTGAAGCTCTTGTGAACACCAGCCCACATCCCCCTCCCCCTTTGCGCGCAGCTTAGACGGGGCGAAACGTTGGACGCAAAGCTGACGGCGGCGATGGAATCCGAAGGGCGGCGAACAAGCCGAAAACCGACCGAAAGGTGCAATCGCATACGAAACGACCTGATGGTACAGCAGCGGCGGTAGCGGCGTGGGAGAGAGAGAGAGGAGAACAAAAAAAGAATGGAGGAAGACTTGGTGGAAACTGAGGATGGACGGAGAGAAATGGAGAGAGAGAGAGAGAGATGACTCGACTCCAATGGAATGAAGGGGGGGATTGATCCCTCTAGCTGACGATGATTCACTGCAACCGCCGATGGGAAGCACCGCCCAGCCATTTGTCCAGATCGAGCTCTCTGCCGTTCGTTGCTTCCAGCACCCACCGAATGTGCTGCGTCCTCTGAGCAGAAGGCGTTCGGTGAATTGCGCAAGAGAGAAACAAAGGGTGAGACGATTTTGAAACAACAAACAGAGGAAGATACGCCTAGAGAAATCTCCACAGACAGCCGGTTCCTCGTGACAATCAGGCGATGACGGAATTTCTCGATCAACAGTCACACTTGCCCGGTCGTTCATCTCCGATTGAACTCTAGAAATATTTTAGATTCATCCCAAATTTGTCTGTTGACTTCTATTTCGGCTTTTGTTTTCTCCCATTCTCTCGCGGTATTCCGAATTTCCATTGCCGTCGGTTGCACTGTGGGGCAGGAATCGAGTTCGCAAGGAAGGTGTTTGATGGAATGACGAAGCCGGACTCTGCTCTGAAGAATACCTTTTCAAGAGAGAGAGAATCGGTGAGCTTTATCTGGCTGTGAGAGCAAGTTCAAGTCCAAGAGCGCAAGATGTCAATTCTCAGACAAAACCCGGAGGCTCGGATGCTGTGTAGTGTTGAGAGAGGTTGCGGAAGAGTTGTGCTGCAGCGACGCGGTTACAGAGTTATGCTACTGCGGTGAAAGAGATGACTGTGAGAGAGGCTCTGAATACAGCGCTTGATAAGGAAATGCCTGCTTATACTAGAGTCAATCTAATGGGTGAGGAGGTCGGAGAATACCAAGGAGCCTTTCAAGGTGTCTTAAAGGTTCTTTTGCAGAAGTATGGACCTGAGAGGGTTGTTGATGCTCCTATCACAGAGGCTGGTTTCACTGGAGTTGAAGTCGAGCCTACAAGGTGTCTTTAGTTTCAAGAGGAGCTGCAGCACGAGTTGGTGCCCGACACTCCCAAGCCCTGCGAGGACGTCGCCATCCCATCTGGAGGAAGCTTTACCGGATCCGGTCTCGTTAAATCACTCATCACCCTCAGGATCTATGGGACACGAGAATCGTCCATGGCGTACGGAATGAGAGTTGCTCATGAACTGTGTAACATCTCTGGTATGTTCCTCCAACCAAAGTTCTTCCTCATCGTCTTGCTTTTCAGATTTGTCGTCACTAATTTCTAATGCAGTGGGTTAGTTGCTTTATTTGAATGCGTTGTTGTCGGGGAGTGGATAGTTGGCATGGTCGCAAATTTTATTGGTGTTTACTCAAGTCTCCTTTTCAGTTGCTATCATTACGGTATCAACATAAAGCACAGAAAGATGAGGTATACATAATAACGTAGGCGCTGGATGGGACCATTGTTATTACTCTGATTAACTCAGCTCGCAATGTTTGGTATTAGCCTCAGAAAGCGTCACGTCTCCTTCGTCCTTTTCCCGCCTTCTTTTGTTCGAAAGGGTAAGCAATCATTCGCAAATTCTGGACATGCTCGTCTTGATATGAAGTAGTAATTGCTTTTGCTATTCAATGACACTCTTCGCCCTCATAAGCTTTGATTGTTGACCTATTGTTGCGTAGCTTAACCACTATTCTCTAAATTGTTGTTCCATTTGGTAACGAGGGTAATTGGTCGATGATTCGGTCTTGTTGAATTCGATCTGTTAATCATGTGCTCTGCTGTTCTAGCGGTTGAATGAATTTTTATTTGGATCTGCTTTGCTTCATGGTTATTGGTATCAATCTTATATGTTGGTTCAATCTGTAATAGTGCAGTGTAGGAAAATGGTGAACTCCTGAAGCTCACTCCTAGGCAACATCGTTGATTATGGGCCCTTTGCTGCATTTATTTCTCTTGTATACATGTATTTAGTGACAGCAGATTAGAGCATGCAGACTCTCTGGAAATACAAATCATGGAGATCTGAGGAAGTATCTTCGTGGATATTTCGACACTACATGGGGGAAAAAGTACAGTTATGTAATGATACCGGAGTCATGAGTAGTCGATAAGCCATCAGAGGTATTATTTGTGATTGTTGTCTAACAAGAAGCTGTAACTGATGTCTTTCTCTCGCGAATGCCCGCCAATCGGCAGAGAAGGACAGATACTATGTCCCTCTGGCCGGTCCAAGGCTCCTAATGAGCTTCATTGCCCACAGATCTGTCCGAATACTGAAGAGATGATATTTGTTTGTTTTCCTGAATATGTTGCTTGGCGAATCCAACCGGAGCACCTTGGACATGTACATGTTTTGAACAGCTTATACTTGAAAATTGTTAAATTGAACATGAGATACAACGGCGATGCTTTAAGCTCCAGATCTTAGTGGGCTATTGGTAAGACATCGCAGGATCACCAGTTTGAAAAAGGGCTGCTTCGAATCAACATCACTGGCCAATTCAGGAGATGGGAGAGGCCTTGAAAGTGTAGGACCATGAAAATCCGGGTTAGAATGGCTCACTTTGCATGTAGAATGCTCGATCCCACCTGTAGTGAAACACGAGAACTAAACTAGAAGGTGGTGTGAACATCTCTTTAATTGACTGGCTATGAAAAGATTTCTCATAGATTGGAAATTACTGTTATCATGAAAATCAAAATTCAGTTAATTTGATGGAATAAGTGCTAAATGCTCTTCATATCAGAAGAAACTAATAAACTACAAGTGGCACTGACATGCAAAAATACTTGCATGAATCTTCAAGAATTTGAAAAGAGATGAAGAAAAGAATGTGATGTAAGTAGAAATTGACCTGGTAAATCCACTGGTTGCTCAAGGAAAGTCTAATTGACATTATGACACTTCATTAGTTCTATATGTCAGGTTGAGCCACTAAAATACTTAAAGAAGCACCAAATATAAGAGTTTCTTCTAAACTGGAAGTTACAGAATTGAGACTAGCGCACAAAAGAAGAAAACTTAAACAGATAAAGAGTCTACTTTTCATTGATTCCCAACTACTGAACAAAGGAGGCATAATTAGGAATCCTAAGTTCAGATCGACGATACAAATGGCTTAGAGTAAGACTTCCCTATGTTCATCTTAATCAATGTGAATCGGCTCCTTACCAGCTACTGAAAAAGGACACACGGAACACAACATCATCCCTATCAATGAGCTCAAACACAGATCTTTCCCATACACAGATGAGTTTCTCTTGCAAAAACAGGCCAACCAGCAGAGAAGAATACCCACGTTTCATGCGTGTAGCTTAAGAGCTTCTCCGGACACGATTTTTCTGAAAACCTAAGAGTCGCCATTTCCTTGTTTTCTTGAATATGTTCCTTGTTTTCTTGAATATGTTGCTTTGCAAATCGACCAGGAACGTCCGGCACATATCTACATGTGTGGAAAAACCACTGTATGCTAAAAGGAGGACATCACATAAAGCATACACTAATGTGGAAAAAAGCAGATGATGTAGATTCATGCCCATATTTGCTAGTTCAGGAGTTTTAAGCAACAGCCTTAATAGTCTCATGAAAGTCATCGATCTTAACCTGCAATCTAAAGCATTCTTGAAGAAGTGGCTGTCCATCAATAGCTATTTTCAATTAGGTCACCATTCAAGTGAGTGCCCGTTCTTTCACTTGGATGTAAATAGAGCGGCTTGTGGAGAATATCCAAGGCAATCCCGACCCGAATACTGTCTTTACTTATTCATTTTTTTCTGGTTCCACGTTATTCCATCGTTAGGATTTCCCCCAGACACTTTGAGAAAAATAACATGTCATATGGTTCCCCATACAAACCAAATCAACTTGGGAAAACATAATATCGAGGCATGATTTATAGCAATCGTAATTGAACTTCAGACATGCCAGTGATGAATTAGGCTAGAGATCTCACCACTTTACTCTCATGATCTTGCCGTATCACCACTTTGAAAAAGAGATGTTCCGAAGTGAGGGGCTTTGGAGGTGTAGGACCACGAAAAACCGGCTTAGAATGGTCCGGCTTTGGAGATGTCCAATTTTATGTTTAGATTGTTCATTCCTACGCTAAACTAAAAATGAGAACTTCATTAGTCTTTAGCATAAGCGTTTCTTCAATAGATTTACCATGAAAGGATCTCTGCAGAGATTGGAAATTATGATTATCATAACAATCAAAATTGAGACAATTTAACGGGATATATGTTACAAGTGTCTTCAAATAAGAAGAGACAAGCTAACTAGAATTTATTACGTACCATTCAAACCACAAAAGCTTTATTAAAACGATTTTGAGTGTATTTTTAAATTAAAAAAGAAAAAGAAAAAGAAAGTGTACTTGTTAGTGATGCAGCACAACAAAACATGGTAGGCATAATTGTAAACCCAGAACTCAAGTCACGCCATAACCAGCTAAAAGTGACGCTTCCAGTACTCATTTCAAACAATGCAAATCAAGTGTTTACTGATACCACTCAAAATGGAGAGTTTGAACGCAATATATCATCCCTATCAATTAGCTCGAGCACGCAAACATTTCTTGCAAGCATGAGTTTCTCTCGGGAATGCACGTCAACCAGAAGAAAGGATAGAGACATAGCCCCTCTGACGCGTCTGCAGCTCCTAACGAGCTTCACTGGCCATGATCTGTCGAAATACTTAAGAGTTGCTCTTTCGCTTTTCCTGAATATGTTGCTTGATGAATCATCCCGGACACTCTGCGCTTGTACATGATTGAACAGCCACGCTATGAAAGAGCTTGACGATAGTGATGGTGGAGACGGTGAGCTTGAGAGAAAATAATAATGGAGCAAGACTTTGTTGAAAAAATGAAGATGGACAGAGAGATGAGGATCACCTTCCCACCGCGTCGCCTATCTCCCAACGGATCGTCCTTCATTGTTTAGCCACCACGACGGTCGAACTTGACCACTGGAGTTTCCTGGTCGTTGAACGTGCTGCATCCTCTAAGCAGAAGGTGTTCGGTGAATTGGACAATAGAGAAACAGAGGGTGAGACGATTTTGAAACAACAAACAGAGGAAGATGCGCCTAGAGAAATCTCCTCAGTTCCTCGCGACATTCAGGCGATGACGGAATTCGTCGATCAACAGTCACGCTTACCAGGTCGTTCCATCTCCGATTGAACTCTAGAGTTCATTCCGATACATTCCAACTTTGTCTTTTGATTCATGTTTCACTTTTGTTTTCTCCCATCCTCTTGCCGTCTTCTAGAAATTCCATTGCTGTTGGTTGCACTGTGGAGGAGGTATCGAGTTCGCAAGGAAGGAGTTCGATGGAATGACGAAGCTGGTCTCAAAGACTACCTGTTCAAGAGACACAGAACCGGCGAGCTTTACCTGGTGGTGGGAGCAAGTTCAAGTTCGAGAGCGCTAGATTGTAAGACGAAAAGCCACTGCCGGAGGCTCGGATGCTGTGTCGTCGAGAGAGAGGTTGTGGAAGCGTTGTTGCCGCAGAGTTATGCTACCGCAGCGAAAGAGACTGACTGTGAGAGAGGATCTGAATACAGCGCTTGATGAGGAAATGCCTGCAGATCCAGAAGTCAGTCTTTCTAATGGGTGGTGAGGAGGTCGGAGAATACCAAGGAGACTTACAAGGTGTCTTAAAGGTTCTTTTTTTTTTTTTCCGGACAAGTATGGACCTGAGAGGGTTGTTGATTCTCCAATCACAGAGGCTGGTTTCGCTGGAGTTGAAGTCGGCGCTGCTTTCTGTGGTCTCAGGCCTGTCGTGGAGTTCATGACATTCAATTCGCTATGCAGGCGTCCCCCATCCCACCCGGAGGAAGCTTTACGGATCCGGCCTCGTTAAATCACTCATCACCCTCAGGATCTATCGGACACGAGAATCGTCCACCTCGTACGAAATGAGAGTTGCTCATGAACTATGTAACATCTCGGGTACGTTCCTCCAACCAAAGTACTTCCTCATCCTCTGCTTTTTCATATTTGCAGTCACTAATTTCTTAATGCAGGGTGTTGGTTGCATTATTTGAATGCGTTGTCATCAAGGAGTGGATAGTTTGCGTGGTCACAGATTTAATTGGTGTTTACTCAAGTCTCCTTTTCAGTTGCTATTATTATGGTGTCAACATAAGCACAGAAGTATAAGATATACATGACACATATGCTCAATATAATATCTTAGGCGCAGGATGGGACCATTGTTATTACTTTGATTAACTCAGCTTGTAGTGTTTGGTATTAGCCTCAGAAAGCTTCATGTCTCCTTCGTCCTTTTCATGCCTTCTTTTCTTTAAAAGGGTAAGCAATCATTCGCAAATTCTGGACATGGTCGTCCTATTGTGAAGTAGCAATTGCTTTTGCTATTCAATGACTCTTTGCCCTCATAAACTTTGATTGGTGACCCATTGTTATTCCATTTGGTAACGAGGGTAATTACTCGTTGATTCAGTCTCGTTGAATTCAATTTGTTAATTACGTGCTCCGGTGTTCTAGGAGTCGAATAAATTTTTATGTGAATCTGCTTTGCTTCATGGTTATTAGCCTGAATATTTTGTGTTGTTTCATTCTGTTATAGGGCATTGTAGGAAATTGGCGAACTCCTAAAGCTCACTCCTAGGCAACGTCGCCATTGATTATAGGCCATTTGCTGCATTTCTTTCTCTTGTACATGTATTTAGCGACAGCAGATTAGCATAGAGACCCTCTGGAAATACAAATAATGGAGATCCGAGGAAGCATCTTTGTGGGATTTTCGACACTACATTGGGGCAAAGAAAACCACATAGTTATGTAGAGATAGCCGAGTCACGAGTAGTTGATAAGCCACCATATATCATTTGTGATGATGTCAATCAACAAGCTGTTGCTGCAAAGAATGCAGGCCTTCAGGTGACTACAGGAGCATCTATCGGGCCAATTCTGAAGAAATTCCTAACAGGACCCATATACTATGTTCAATGTGAATGCATTATGTCTAAAGTATCTATATGCGGAGAAATCTGAAAGCAAGACTTTGCCAATTTCAATGCTTTTGTTTAGGGGTTCATCCTATCATTGTGGTTGAATTTGATTCCTGATTTTCAATGAAAAGAATGTGAAGGCAAAAATTTAGGTGTCAATAATTGGTAAGGCGAGAGACTATTAATCCTTTTTTCCCTGTTAAACAATAAGGAAGACATTGGTATGAAAATTTCTTTAATTGACTAATTATGAAAAGATGTGGCATAGATTAGAAATTGCTCTGCCATACATATCAATATTCAGTTAATATGACAAAATGAAATCTGATTGCTCTTCACATGATAAGAAACTAATAAACTTCAATTTGCGCCAACATGTGAAAAGGCTTACACAAAATCTTCAAGAATTCTAAAAGAGAATGGAAAGAATCTAATGTAAGTCCACATTGAGCTTGTAAAAACATGGGTTGTGCCTTGAAATTCAGAGTTGGTATATGGCTTAAGGGAAGTATATTCGATGTTTCTACACTATTCAGTTCCAAAGGTCGGGTTGAGCCCCCAGAAACCTTAAAGAAGCACCTAATTTTAGAGATTCTTTCCAAAATGGAAGATATAGAATCGACATTAGCAATCATGCCCACATTGTGACTATCAACACTAGGATCAAGGAAAGGTATCGTACACATCCAGGACCATTCCATTCATTAGAACAAAACTCATGCTTTTATCCATTTTGCCGAATTGGAAGTAGATTTCAGCCTAGCAATTCTGCAGTTCTGTTCTCACCAAAAGTGAGCTAAAGCAATGCTTCCTCTGCATCCTACTGCATAGTATTATTCACCCAAGTCTTATCAGTGGATCTGAAGATAGATACTCTAAACACGATATTGTCCCTTTTGATAGAGCTCGAACACACGCGTCTTACACGTTCAGAGAAGTTTCTCTCATGAATGCAGCCCAACCGGCAAATAACTTTCCATAATGTTCGTGGTTCATGAGCTTCAACGGCCATGATTTGTCTTGAAATATGAGAGCCATGGTCTGTGGGCTTTTCTTAATGTGCGTCTTTGGGAATGAACCACGAACTCTTTGCTCAAGTAGACACTTCGCAATTTTGTCATCAGAAAAAAGAAAACAACCAATGATTTATGAGGAAGCACGAGGATCCATTTCAAAGAATGTGAAGGATAACAACAGAAACTATTGACACGATGCACGATTAAAATTAGAGTTAACATAGTCTAGCGACTCTCTTTGATTTATATCCAAGAGTTGTCATTGTCATGAGGATCTTACCACATTGCTTTTCTTCAGATATATTCACCAAACGATTCACATGCTCACGGGCAATCGACAACATTACATACCTATAATCGTTTGCTCGTGACATCATTACCGGTTCACTTGTCGTCCAAGCGCTTGGACCGATTGAACCACAAACTAGCAACCTAACTGGTTCTCTAATCGGCCCAAGTTTGAAAACATTAGTGCAAAGCTCAATCCCTGCTTAAAACAAGTAAATATGACTATCTTATATGAATTGAGTTGTAATGCACGAATTACTTTCACCCCCTAACAAAAGATGATAGCAAGTGATTATACCTGATAGAGGTTCGGCTATCATAGAATTACTGTCGTGGATGCTCCTCTCTCTCTCTCCTTGAGCATACGAGACGCAAGAAAACCTTCGTAATGCTCCAAATGAGATTGATGGTCAACCTCCACGTCCTACTTTACTCCTGTCGTTGCTCTAGTTGGAGCTATGACCAATGCTTGACCTTTCCCTTATAAAATTCGTAACCAACAGTAAGTCTTTGCTTTGGCATCGCACAAATTTTAATTTAAGATGCTAATAAATCTTAGTCAAGAGGGAAAAGAGTTAACATCTACCGCTTCATTTAGTTTACATTTAATAATGAAAAATAGTGCTACACACCGGAAAAAAAGGGAAAAATCAGAAAAGGCTCCACCAACAAAGATAAAAGATCACACGAAGAAACAGCGAATTTAGAATTATATTGAGTATGCGATAAATCGAAAGAGGAACCTTATCTCTAATAATCAACCTATCCTCCACAAAAACAAGAGAAACAATCTTTCTAGCTTATTTGACTAAAAAGGGCCATGCCCAGGAATATCATCTCCTCCATCGCCCTTTCCATCCTAATCTTCGATATGCAGGGTGACATCTGTCCGCCATCACCTTCAGCGTCACTTCTAATCACATTGCAGCATCGCTAGAGGCATATAATGAGCTCCCAAGCACTTGTTCATTTCCTTTCTCTGCAGTGGACACTTTGTCACCCTTGTCATAGATGTCCCTAAGTTTCATGTGCTCGACAACACGCCATTCATCTATGACATGAAAACTTTCTTTACCTGCGATGCTAAGCCAAAAGGTTTGTCAACTACATTGTCACCTGAAAATGTTTTTTGGTTTTTTGAAAAAGATTTTTGATCCGTTCATTTGAAATATTCTATATTGAATAGAGAATTTTCAGTCCTCTACTCTACCAGCTGAGCTATCCCGACCATTCCTTACACATCATCCTGATTTTACTAGATGACTTGGTTCTATGTCAATTAAAAAGACGAAAGGGCTAGAAAAAGTCATACAATAACTGTCCTAGCTCTACCATATCTTTTGTTTCATTTCTTCTGGAACAATCACAAACACTTTTTTGATTATGGATCTACTACCAGAAATTCAATGCGTAATCTTAGCATTCAATGTAAGCTCCAATAGAAAAATATTGGAAAGGAAAAATGCTTCGAAGATTAACCTGTTCCCATGCAATAGTTAGGAATTCTTGACGGTATCGAGCTGGAACAACCTTTGCTTCTTGAATACCCTGATTCAGCGCTAAAGAATTTCCCGCCGCTACCATATAGTATTCATCTCTACTTGTATTTTATACATTGGAAGAATCCGTTTTGTTATTAATAAACTAGGAAAAGAATAACTGAAAGAAAGGAAATCAATTAGTTATTCATGAAAGTGTCATTTATTTAATGACTAGAATTAGATGAGGATATATAGCTCGGAGACGTAGAACAAAAATTCGTTTATTTGCATCAAGCTTTCGGGGGGCTCGTTCAAGACTTACTCGAACAATTATTCAACAGAAATAAGATCTTTGGTTTCGTCTCATCGAGATAGAGATAGGAAAAAGAGAGATTTTCGTCGTTTGTGGATACTCGTTCATGCTTTTCCTGGAGGTCTGGAGAAAGCTGCAATCAATAGAATTTTCCTAATCCTCCCTTCCCGAAGGAAGAATGTGAAATTCTTTTTCCTTTCCGCAGGGACCAGGAGATTGGATCTAGCCGTAAGAAGAATGCTTGGATGATAAATAACTCTGTATCAAATGCAAAAAATATTGCAAGGGTAAGGCCGAAATATCTTTTCTGCTGCTTCTATTTACGTTAAGTCAAACAAATTTAAATAACACAACCTTATATGCTCTTAGGAACTTAGTCGAGTGTGGCATGCTATCAAGAGGTCATAGGACTGTGTCAGGTTTGAGTCGAGATCTAATCGCCACAATCAAAAGAAAATCATTTCAATGTCATCTCGAATAAACCTCAAAAGAAATGAAATCTATCAACCATGGTATTTTTTTTTTTGGTAACCGAGGATCCGCCACCATTCCCCGGGGATGAGCCCGCACAGGTAATCGGGGCGCCTATACCTCGGGGGAGACTAGCCCAGCAACCCACCGCCAGGGCCCCTCACTTAAATTACGGAGCCGAGCGGGGATTCAAACCCAGAACCTCTTGGGAGGGAAGGTAAGCACCCACCAACTCGGCCATGCGCAGGTGGGTAAACCATGGTAATTTTTTTATATAGCAAAACCCAGAAAAATGCAGTGCAAAATATTTTTAGCTATACAGTAGCAGTTCGGTTTGTCGCATGCAGTTTAAGATATCATGGTTTTTATGAGCCCGAGAAGAAATCTAGTGGCAACATTTGAAAGCAAATTACTCAACATTGTCTCCAGTGAGTTTGCTAAGAATTTTCTTTTGATAAGCGAAAGAAATTTAGTGCAAAATGGTATCAAGCAGATGCTAGCCCGCGTAACAAATCATGAACGCAATTCATGTTATGAGGTATAAGAAAAAATGCACATTAGTAATGTCATTTCCACACACCAAAAACTGTGGAAAGCCATCTATGATTCAAACTAAAAACCAGTCTTCCTATTTTCAAATTTCTTTCTTCCAAACAAATCAGCAAGCTAAAGAAATTAATCAACCATAAACACAGCCCAACATAAACAAAGAGTCATTTAAACTACTTACCGTTTGATGCTGGGTTCTAAAATCCAACAAAAGGAAGTTCTCTAGTAGAACCCAAAAACATGAGTGTGCCATAGTTTCATGGAGATTTTGATTGCAAGACATATGGAAGAGGCAATCAGATAGAAAGCAAATGAAAGTATGTTGCGAAAAGGCAGTTTTAGATATCGTGCACCTGAATATCCATGCACAGCGATGAACAAGGCATTACTGCAGGGTGAGCTCGGAATTTAATTTGAAACAACAAGAGAGAGAATGTTGATCATTGTAGCGGCAGAAAGGCTATGTTCTCCATGATAGCTACTACACAATTATCTCGTTGACCCAACAATTGAGATTCAAATGCAGGGTTGCAAGTTCAACTTCAGAATAGCAGATTAGTATTGCAGAACTCATTACGTCGGATCAATAACTGAGAATGAATCGGTCACCGTACATAGACTGCTTCTGATGTCCTTGCTGGCACCAAGGCAGGCTGAGAGTTGCCAAAAGCATTACCTGCACATTTTTAAATCATTGATTTCAGAAGTTCCAGTGGCAATGTTTAGGACTAACGAGGAAAGAGATGGATCACTCTGCCATTGGTTAACTTGGTTTATAGATATAAGCAAGAGTTGACTAATTAAACCTGTACAGCAAATACTCGAACCTTTTTACTTGTGAAGAAGAATACTGGAAAGCAAGTTATCTTGACAGCTCGAACAAGAGCATATGACCTTAAAATGAATCACGAGTGTTGAGAGTACTTGGCTAATAGGGGCATATTTGTCTATTTCCTTTATTATTTTATATATTGCAGCAATAAGGGTAATATTGTAATTTTGACCTTTTTGGCTTTATTATAAATAGATAACTTGGGGTCACATAGACCTAACTAAGCATTTAGTTCAGTTTTTTCTCTCAACATGGTATCAAAGCCAGATTTGAACTGAAACCCTAACCCTAATCTCTCCTATGTGCAACCTTTCTTTTTCCTCTCTTCACGCCTTCACTCTCCCCCACCGCAGTTCCTTCTCATCTTCTCCTTTGCTCTCTTTCACGGTGTAGGGCAGCACTAATGATTTGATTCTTTGAATCTAGTGTCTGCCCTAAACTTCACCTCTATGACATAACTAAAACTTCTTTGCAGTCCGCGATAGGTGGTTCAACTTCTTCTGCGATTTTTTGGATCTTCTTGTTTGAAATTGTTTCTGCCTTGCCGCTGGCCTACAATTCTCTCGTGTGTGAAGACCAAAGCACTGCAGTTCGTGGACCACCATATTTTTTTCAGATTCTTTGGGATAAATTAGAATTATCGATTCTTTTCAAGTTTTCAAAATCTTGAAAAAATCGATTTTTTTCTTCCCTTCATCTGATCTTGCTGATTTTTTTGAGGATATTTTTAGCCTACTACCAGTGACACAATGTCTGATGGTTCAGTTGAGAATCCTCCACTTACAGGAGATGGCCGTACAGATTATATTACTTTCGCTACAATCTTTGTGAAGCTCGACGGCACAAATTATTCGATATGGTCTCGATCTGTATTTTTGACCATTGCAGGCCGTGGGCTTACAGGTCATATCAACGGCACTTCTGTGAAGCCGGAAACATCGGGTGCTACTCAAGACAAGTGGATCTCGAATGACTCTTTGGTAATGTCTTTTTTGCTTAACTCGATGCAGTCACCTATTGCAAAAGGATATTTGCTTCTTGATTCTGCGGCGCAAATTTGGTCAGCTGCTAGGGATACTTATGGTCAAATCGGGAATGATGCACAGGTGTATGAACTTCGAAAAAGGGTTCATGACACTTCTCAGAAGGAGATGACTATATCTCAATATTATGCTGAGCTTCGGAGTTTATGGCAAGAGCTAGATCATTATACCGATTATCAACCAACTAATGCTACAGACATTGCTGCCTACAAGAACCATGTGGACAAGATCAGAGTTTATGATTTCTTGGCAGGATTGAATGTTGAATATGATCAGATACGTGTTCAAGTCCTTAGCCGGTCTCCATTCCCCACTCTGGAACAGTCCTATGCCTTAGTTCACTCAGAAGAAAGCCGTAGGACAGCAATGCTCCAGTCCTCTACTATTGATCGATCTGCTCAACAAATTAGTGCTGGCACTATTAATAAATCTGGTTCGTTCTCTCGATTTAATGATACCCCTAAGGAAGTTGTGAAGTGTGAATATTGTCATAGGCCTTATCATACTAAGGCTACCTGCTGGAAGTTACATGGAAAACCTGTAGATTTTGAGGAAAAAAAAGCATAGAGAAAGGAAAAAAAACAAAGCAAACCATACGGAAACTGTTACTGCTACACCTACTACTGATATCGGTTTATCCCAGGAAGAACTTCAGGCATTTCGATGTCTACTGAAAGCTTCTACTACTGCTGCTTCCTCCACAGTTGCCAATTCGTCTTCCCATTTTGCTTCAAATCTAGCCACTTCAGGTATCTTCTTTGGGGGGTTTAATACATCTGTTGTTTCCAGCCCATGGATCATTGATACAGGGGCTACATATCATATGACAGGTTCTTCTAGTCTCTTTCATCAATATACCCCTACTTCCGGTAGAGACAAAGTTCGTGTAGCTGATGGAACCCTCTCTTCCATCGCTGGAAAAGGGTCTATCAATTGTTCCTCCACTCTTCCCTTGTCTTCTGTTTTACATATTCCATCATTCTCTACTAATCTCCTTTCTATTAGTAGTTTGACTCGAGACTTAAAATTGTAAAGTAACTTTTTTCCCTTCTTACTATATTTTCCAGGATCTGGTAACGGAGAAGGAGATTGGATATGGTAGATTGGATGGTGGTCTTTATCTGCTCGAGGGTAGTGGGGTTTCTACTTCTATGTCGTCTACTACGCCCCATCAAGTTAATTCAGCATTGATAGATCTCCATCAGTGGCACTGCAGATTAGGTCATCCCCCTTTAGGAACTTTAGAAAAAGTTTTCCCGAGTCTCGTTTCAGCTTGTAATAAAGATGAGTTTTTTTGTGAAGCTTGTGTCTTTGCTAAACAAACTTGTTCTACATATTCATCTTCAAATAATAAAATTCGTTTCCCTTTTCATGTGATTCATACTGATGTGTGGGGTCCTTCCCGACGTACTTCTATTTCTGGTTATCGATGGTTTGTTACTTTTATCGATTGTCATTCTCGTGCAACTTGGGTTTATTTGTTGAACCATAAGAGTGACGTTTTTCGTTATTTTCAAATTTTTCACAAAATGATTCAAACTCAATTCAACGCCACTATGAAAATTCTTCGCAGTGACAATGGCACTGAGTACACTGAATGTCAGTTTCAACGGTATCTCTTTGATCATGGCATTATTCATCAGACCAGTTGTGTTGATACCCCAGCATAGAATGGTGTTGTCGAAAGAAAGAACCGACATTTGTTAGAGGTCGCCAGGTTTCTTATGTTTGCACGTCATGTCCCCTCTCAGTATTGGAGTGATCCTATTTTAACCGCTGCCTATTTAATCAATCGGATGCCGACTAGAATTCTTGATTTTCGCACACCTATTGATGTTTTACAGGAATCATCAACTTTTATTCTTCCTCCAAAAATTTTTGGTTGTGTTTGTTATGCTCGTAATACTACCACTAAGAGTAAGTTGGAACCCCGCGGTCTCCACTGCATATTTCTTGGGTATTCAGCTACTCAAAAGGGTTATAAGTGTTATCATCCTCCTTCTAGGCGCAGTATTATATCTATGGATGTGATTTTTCATGAGTCTACTTCTTATTATTCCGCTCCACCTCTTCAGGGGGAGTGTCCTAGTGTAGAGGTGTTGCCAATTCTAGATGTTCCTATAGTTATTACTTACTCTTCTCCTTCTCCTCCTCCTCCTCCAATAGTCTCTGATCATTCTCCTTTTCCTTCTCAAGAGGAGAACGATGCAACGCAAGTAGAGAATAATGCAATACTACAGGGGGATGCAATACTACAGGGGGAGATATCAGAGATTCAGGGGGAGACCACACCTGTTAAGCAAAGTATGGGTATCTTTCAAAGGCGGATTGATAGTGGGGAAACATTGAAGACATATCGTCGTAGGAATTCCACAACCAACACGCAGGTTAAAACCACTGATACATTGCTTATTCAGTCATCATCTCCGGATCCGGATTCTACTACTTCTTCTGATGAGGTTTCTCCTTCTGATCTTCCTATCGCACTCCGAAAGGGTACTAGAACTTATACTCAACACCCTATATCCAATGTTGTTTCATATGACTCTTTGTCCAGCTCTTATTGTACTTTTGTATCTTCTCTATCTTCCGTTTCTATTCCACGGAATTGGCAAGAAGCTTTTGCAGATGAGAAGTGGAAGACAGCAATGGTGGAGGAAATGCATGCTTTGAAGAAAAATGACACGCGGGATCTTGTTGTTCTTCCTCCTGGGAAACAACCGGTAGGATGTAAGTGGGTGTTTGTAGTCAAACAGAAGATGGATGGTACTGTGGACAGATATAAAGCATGGTTGGTGGCGAAGGGATTTACTCAAACTTATGGGATTGACTATCAAGAAACTTTTGCTCCTGTTGCCAAGTTGAATACTGTTCGAGTGTTGCTTTCGTGTGCTGTAAACCAGGGATGGGATCTTCAGCAGTTAGATGTGAAGAATGCATTTCTTCATGGAGAGTTAGAAGAGGAGGTATATATGGAGATTCCTCCAAGTTTTTCTTGTGACAAAACTCAAGGTAAAGTGTGTAAGCTGAAACGTGCACTTTATGGTTTAAAGCAATCACCTCGAGCTTGATTTGGTAGGTTTCAGAAAGCTATGATCTTTGTTGGGTATAAACAAAGTAATGCTGATCATACTTTGTTTGTGAAGAGATCAGGTGCTAAAGTCGCTATTCTTATTGTCTATGTAGACGACATTATTATCACAGGGAATGATACTGATGAGATAAGCCGGTTGAAGAATTTTCTTGGACAAGAATTCGAAATAAAGGATCTTGGAAAGCTCCGATACTTTCTTGGAATTGAAGTTGCCAAATCTTCAAAAGGTATCTTTCTATCCCAAAGGAAGTATGTCCTTGATCTTTTAACAGAAGTTGGGTTATTAGGATGTCGTCCCTCTGATACACCTATTGAGGTCAATACTCGTCTTCGAGAAAAGGATGGTGATCTCGTAGATAAGGGTCGTTATCAACGGTTAGTGGGCAAGTTGATTTATTTATCACACACCAGACCTGATATTGCTTTTGCTGTGAGCCTAGTGAGTCAGTTTATACATGATCCATACTCTACTCATATGGATGCTGTTCTTCGAATCCTTCGATATTTGAAGTCTACTCCCGAAAAAAGGGATTCTTTTATCTCCTCGTGATGGCTTGAAATTTGAAGCCTATACAGATGTTGATTGGGCTGGATCTCCTGACCGAAAGTCTATTTTTGGGTATTGTACTTTCTTAGGAGGGAATCTTGTGATTTGGCGTAGCAAAAAGCAGAATGTGATTGCTCGATCTAGTGCTGAAGCAGAATTTCGTGCAATGGCACATGGAGTTTGTGAACTGTTATGGCTTAAAGAATTACTTGAAGATCTTGGTGTATCTATTCCTATTCCTATGATGCTATATTGTGATAATAAAGCCGCCATTAGTATTGCTCACAATCCTGTACAGCATGACCGTACAAAACATGTGGCGATTGACAGGCACTTTATCAAAGAGAAGTTAGAGAGTGGTTTAATTTGCATGCCCTTTGTTCAGTCCGGTGATC